AAAGTCCAACTGGGACTTAAACGTTTGCACTTTTACACATTCTTTTGCACAGCCCTGCAATATGTGTGTTATTGACATTTCAACTCTTCTACTGCAGTTTGAATCTTTTTTTTTTCTGTGTGTGAGTCCTCCTCTGCTTCATCGTGACTTCTCCTGGCCACTCACCATTTTCTGAACATTAGAGCAAATCATCACAAGTAGTCACGCAAACTAGAAATATTATCCTGAATATGAATGTATTGTTTCCTTTAAGGAGTTACTCGTGATGGCAAGACCAAAACAAAAGTCCAATATTGTCTTTGTGTGGCTTTGATGCATTTCATACAGTTTAAGGCATGTTCATATACCCTCATTCTGTGAAATACTCTCTGAATTTGTTACCTATTCTCTCTTACCAAGCCCTCAGAGGAGAAGGAGATTGTCGACGTGATGCTGAAGAAAATTTACAGTTTTTTTGGGATCAGATGTAAAGATACGAAAGACTCCCTGGAGCCTGGCGTGAATGACAGCACTGGCCTGACCCTCAACAACAGAAGAAATATCCTTAACATCTCTCAGACATCTGACAAATCAACAGATGACAAACCCGTAATGTAACATATCCTCTGAACGATAACGATCACATACAGAATTGATCGGCTGCTTGTTGCTGTGAATAAGGTGTTTCGTTCAGGAACATTTTATTCACTGGTTTTACTCATTGTCCTTATTCAGATTCAAAAACATTACACAGTCCACTGTACGTGAATTGAATCTGAAGACACAGCTCTTGCTTTCTCATAAAGGAAACAAAAAGAGAATTACAGGCACGATATAAATTCTTAAAGTCAGATGAAACAGTTTAAATAGTTTAATTTCCAGAGCTTATTCACGAGTAGTAATTAAATTTACAAATATGAATTTTTAGGCTAGGTAAAATATTATTCTCATTTGTTTTGTTCTGTATTTGTTATATTTGTGTGAGTGTGTGTGCATAATTGAATGTGTTCTGTCAATGAAAGACCACCTTTCACTAATCTGTACTGTGATTAAGTGATTGTCTTGTCCTCAAGATTTTCAATATTTGTACATTAGGGAAACGTGTGGTTACCATTGTGGCAGCAAGTTTAAACTGTTTTATAGCGCAGCCAATACTTTACATATTACAATGTTTTAATTAAGTCAGTGAACGATGAACTGATTCCATCCTCAGTACATCACAAATAGGTTCAACAACAACAGGAAGGCAAAGTAAAGTTGGTTTTCATACTAAGAAGTTTGAGCTGTGCAGCCTGTTGCCTGCATCTCCTTAACTTATACAGGTAACGTTTGCTGCCTCGTCAAAGTCTAAAATATCCACTTACAAAAATTGCTCAATGTATTATTGTCATCTTTTGTTTAAGCCAGTTCAGCACATATAATTTGAGGCAGTAGCAATAGGGTGTTGCGTGTATGAGGAGTTAATTATTACAGCCTTACTATAAAGAGAGTGAACATTTTGATGTGAGGCTGTTATCAGTTTGCACTGGATTATGTAAAAGCATAATTTTCCTGTGAATTCATACATCACATCACAGAAATTACAGGTTCCATCAATGCCAATACAATGTCTGTATAAAGGGGTTATTACAAAAAAGAATCTCACCATAAATAAAGTCAAAGGCAAGTATATCTGTATGTCACTTTTCAACAATGAGATAATTCAAATTGCTTTACACACAATAGAAAAGGCATCATGACTAATTGTTAAAACAACACAAGACAGTACAAAAAATAAGAATTTAAAAAGAAAATAAAGAATGACATTTTTTTTAAAAACTAGTGAAAATAATGTGTAAGAGAGATGGTAATTATATGATTTATTAAAAGGCCATGGCAAAGGAAAAGTGTTCCTTATACTTAAAAAAATCAACAACCAGAAGAACAGAGCAGAATTATTTTTTGTTGTTGTTGAAGATTGTATTCATGATGCTACGTCATTGTGTTGTTCACATGGTTACTAGTCAATGGCTGCTTGCTTCCTTACTGTTGCTAGTTCTCTGGTTTGAAAGAGTCACATGTGATATTACTTCCACCCATGTGGCTGTTGGATAAGGTTTGATAACACCTTATATTTACACTTGAGATCAATATGGCCACAACGTGTCGCGATGAATAGGATCACAATCGATCATCAGTGCATCTTGGTTGCACCTGAACATGTGATCAAGCTCTGATTAAAATCCCATCACCAAAATTTAATTTTAATGCCAGGTGTAAGTGCAGCATTAGGAAGTAATGTTTAAATGTATTGTTTGTCTTGCAGTGTTTAACTAAGGTTAGAGAATCTTTGTCATCATGGTTACTATAATAAACAAACTGTAATGATTAAAAGAAACAACAATGACAGTCTCAAAAGGCAATTAACTAATCTCCTGTGTCAAAGTCTTACTTTGGCTCTGAGATAAACATGCAGCCGAATTCTCTTTTTCCTGTTTTCATATATTGCTAATTGAGTCTGCAGTCTCTGTAATTGAAATATATTTACCTCCTCAAGGTAATGATGCTAGACAGTTCCAGATCGTTTATAAGACAGAACGTATTAGAGTCTATGTCCAGGAGTTTATATATGGAAATGAGGTTGAACTCTGACAATAGAAAAGGATAGATAAATAATTATTCCGTCCCTGTCTAGAGCCTGTGTTTTATTGTGGACTCTTGTTTCTTTGTACTTATTTTCTGTGTTTTAAAAAATGTTTGACCTTGATGTCTACCTTGCGTTTCATTTTTAGATCTGTCTGTAAAATTTGTAATTTCAACACCACCTGTTTCTTTTGTACTTACCTGTGTTTTTCTTGTTTCTGATCCCTTCACTTTCTGTCTTTGTCTGTTTTCCTGCTCCTCATTGATTACCTGCCCCGTCTGGATTAGTTCCCCTTGTGTCTTGTTAATCCATGTATTTAAACTCTGCTGCTCAGAGCCAGATTGTCACATCAATTTCTCTCAGCAGCCTAGCAGTTTCCCAGTGTTTGTCATTGATGAAGTTTTGATTTTTTGACCCTTCTCTCAAACCTCTGTGTTTTTAGATACCACTGCCGTCATGACCATCTACCCTTTTCCCTACTCATAAGTCAAATTAAAGACTGTTCATTGGCTCTGTACCCGTGTGGCATCTGCATTTCGGTCCTCACCCATTTCTTGACATCACAGGAACTTATCATAGTCATCATAAGAAAATAATCGATAACCAGAATTAGTAGATGTTGGTTAAACATATTGTTATTGTTATTAAGACCAGATAATTTTAGTTTAGCACAGTGCAGGAATATTCAGATGCCTGATATGAGACACTGCTCCTTTTCACCTGTGACATACTGTTAGTTAATTCTGTGTCTGTTCTGTATCTTATACTCTCCTTGTCTCTCCAGTAGCTCTGTCTCTTCTGCTCCTGCTCTCTTCTTCTCCCTCCTCCTCTGCTCCTTAAAAGAATGAAACCAAGACTTCTTAACAAACATTTAACACATTCTTTCATTTTGAATGTGATGATTACATCATAAAGACATTTAATTTCAAAGCAAACTTTAAACATTTTAATCAGTTGATCAGTTATTGTAGCACATCCACCAATATCAGATTACACAAAGTAAAGCATTGAACTATTTCACCCCACCTGGATCTATTCTCATTAATATCCATACAGACACAACACAACTGGATGCCAGATACAGGCTAGTGTTCAATGCAATCTGGTCTCTATGCTATCAGTCTTACTGCAGTGTAATCAGTACATGTACCTCCTTCCATAACCTCATCGCTTCCTCTTTCTGTTCTTTCAAATTCTCAAACAGCCTTTAAATCTTGCCTCAGTGGATTAGTTACCTCCTGATGCTGACAAACACAAATAATTGGAACTCTCCCGCTCACACAAAAGGTCCACATGCAGAGGAGCTAGAAGTGGATACACTGATTGAATGACACACACATCCATCCTTCCATTATCTATTGCCTTCACAGGGGGAGATGGAGCCAATCCCAGCTGACATTGGTGTTGGTGGTGGAGGGGGGGGGGGCACCCTGCGCATGTCGCTTGGTCCAACAAACAGAGACAAACAACAGACAATCACTCTTACATTCATTCTGTCAGTTTAGAGCTGCCCATTAACACCACTCTAATTTGCATTTTGTTGGAGTGTGGGAGGAAGCTGGAGTATCTGGAGAAAACACACGCAGAGACATGGAGAAGATGCAAACTCCTCCCACAGAGAGACCCCTAGATTCAAACCAAGAACCTTGTTGCTGTGACCACAAACCACTGGATGACATACATTTGACAACAAAGTATTATTATAA